ATAGACTTGGATGGTTTGTTCATGTTATAAGAAGAGAGGAATTGGAAGCTGTAAGAACAGTTATAGAAATGTATGTTGAAGGAAGAAGAGATAGAGGAAGACCAAAAAAGAGATGGAGGAATGTTATTGAATGTGATATGAGAACGTCTGATGTAAGAGTAGATGATGTGGGATATTGAGTCAAGTGGAAGTTTAGGATAAAGGTGGCCGACCCTAGGCAGTTGGGATTAAGGCGAAGAAAAAGAAATACATTATAAAAGAGTATTAAATATGTAAAGAATATATTCAGTGTTGTCACTATTTTATATGTGTAAAAATTATGTTGACAAATGTGTCTTCAGAAATTTACTAACAAAATATTCATACTAATAATTGTTTGATTGTAAAAAATTTTAATACTATTAAATAAATCATAGTTTGATTATTTAAATCTTTAAATTATTTCATTAAACGTACACAGTAAGACATAACTTAAGACATGCGTCTATAACATTACATTTAAAATATCATTTGAAATTCTTTATTTTCAAATAATTTCTTTAAACGCCTGTGTTTTTATAGCCCATAAATTTTTATGTTTTTCTTTCAATTCCTATAAATATAACAGTCTGTAAAAGTATTAGTTTTTTTAACTATTGAGACGTCCATTAATATTACAACGTGGTGAAGGATCACTTACTCATAAAACCAAACATAATATATGATCGACCATTACTATTTGTGAGCTTAATAGAAAATTAAAAATAATTCATTATACATAATAAAATTAAGTATATAATTCTTTATCTATATATAAAATTTCATATCATAGCCCTTAACTTTTTAATGAAAAGTTATAAAAATATTTTTGTGAGAATTAAGCTATTTTTATATATATATATATATATATATAAATTATATTTGAGTAAAGTATGTTTACACTATTTTGCGTGGTTATAATAATAATAAGAGCAAAATAAATAACGAGACTGTCAGAAGCATTCAATTGGGAATATGAACAACTCTTCAATGTTCATTTATTAATAATAGACCTCCCTTGCACAGTTTAACAAAAATAAACAGAAACGAACTTTTAGCATAGTATTAATGGTCTGTGTTTTTACGACAAACATAAACGAAATTCTCATCTACTCTTCAAATTGATACATTGATAGACAACAAAATGAAAAAAAAAAATTTGTAAGAAAATTAGTTTTAATTTTTTACCTGTTTTTAATTTGAATCTCAGATCTAGATCAACATTTGTCACAATAAAATAACTTTCAAGGGAAAATTAAAACAAACATATTGGGAATCATTTTCATTTCCTCTGAATTAAAAATTTAACTCTTAATTTGTCTTTTTATTGATTTAAAACTTCATCTGCTATGGCCATTAGCTACAATAAATTATAAATTCTACTTAAAACTTAATAAAAAATCTTAAGTATTTTGCACTTGGTTTTATGTATTGTAATTGTTATATTCAATTTAAATTTAAAAGCTCTAAAATTAATTTAAGTTTAAAACATTTAATAAAAGTAAAACTGATAAGGAAATACTTATAAATTTCTTAGATTAAAAAAACATAGAAATTAACATTTATTGGCGAACAATCTTGACAGATCATCATAGATGATACCTAACGGTGATTTTATCATTATCATAATAAACGTTTCAATGTAAATCTGTAGATAGTGCTTAATTTTAAAAAATTGGTGGATTATTCCAAAAGCTACATGATCTCTTATTTCCTTATTTATAACCTGATTACAAGTTTTATGACTTATAAGTGTAATATATGAATAAATATATAAAGAGAAATGGTTTTATTTAAAAAATAAGTATGTCGAATGAAAGAGATATATAAATAGTATTTATATCATAAAAAATGGTACTATATTGGTAGCTTTTAATTTAGCTACCTGTATGTGTAATCCCTTATGTATTATACATGTATATTAACTCCAAAATTTTAAACTTTAAATGTTTATATCTAATAAACGAATAAAGTTATAATAAAGTTAATAATAAAGTTACTACTTCTCATGAAAAAATTGTATTGATCCATACATTCTTTAAAAAGTTATAGTATTTTAAATTAAAAAATGTAAAATATAAAATCAAGAATTTTCACACAAAAATAGCATTTGGTGCCATTTTCACCATGAAGACTAAATTAAGTACAAATTTTTTTTTTTCATGATAAAGTATAATATTACATTATCTTTAATTTAAAATATATATAAAAGTGTGAGAGTTTTCGGAACACTTCTAAAAGTTAAGTTGATGAAGTTAATTTTTTGTGAAAAAGTTGTCATTTTGAATCTCCCCCTGTGAGCAGCTTAAGGCAGATTTATAAAAAAAAATATACCAAATGTTAAGTAAAGACATCATGTATTTATAAAAAAAAATGATTTTGATTCGGTCATTTTTAAAAAATTTATGGCAATTTTAAGTAAAAAAAATTGAAAAAATGTCGAAAATTAGCGATTTTTATATTTGTATATTTTTTTTTTGAGGTTTCCCCCATTTACGAAGAACGAGAGAAGTTTTTTTAATTTTTGAGGGTAATGTCTTCGATTAGATACAATTTGTGATCTTTTGACGTATCGTTGAAAGAAATCGGTCCAGTGAGAGCTGAGAAAAAGTGGTAACAGACACACAAAAACAAAACACATCATAGTAAAACTAATACCTTTTCAGCTTCTCATCAAAACTAAAATGTGTCTTGTTAAAATTAAGACTTAAGACCCCGTTTATTAATATGTATTGTATGCAACGCTCAATATTTATTTATTTAAGTTTAAGAACAAGAATAATTTTCAAGCCATCATAAACAAACTATACTATATATTATTTTCATGCGCCTATTAACTTTAGGTATTATAATTAATTATTATGTGAAGTGTAAAGAGATATTTTACGAAATAATAAGAATTATTAATAAATAAGCTGAGTGATTATTTTAAAGCTATGCAGATAATGTTAAATAATATTCAGTGGGCCTATTAAAGGTTTAACTATATAAAACTCGTATATCATACCTTTTTGTACACCTATATGGATAATTTGGAAAAGTATTACATAACGTCAACATCCAGTATATTATTACTTTTGATTTATTTATACCAAAATTTACATTACATAGCGTACATATTTTACAATATTATTTAATATTAATCTTTTCCTTGTAGGTACGATGATTTTATAATCGGATAATACTATTTTAATATTAATAATTGTTATGATAACGTTTTTTCATAAACAAAAAAACAGTAACAAAACAATGTAAATTGTAATTTAATTAGGGTATGATTGTTATATCAATTTCACGAATGAGATAAAGAAAAATCATTGATTAAATTATTATTCAACAAATTAAAGATAGTATTATTGAACCTACCGATTTTTTTACGATGTTACATAAAAACATAAAGTTTTAACACGAAATACGATTTGATTTATCTAATGTCCATAGAAAACTATGTAACGTTTTCATAAAAATTCATGAAAAAAAATGTTTTTTTTAACAGTACATTGATTTATTATTAATACACCTACTTTTTTCAACAATAAAGTTGCTTTTAGACGTTTATTTATTATCTTACTTTTTCTTGTGTGTAAATTTAATTGTAAAGATGGCTGACTAGTAACAATTCAATTATTAAAAAGGATTTTTATAGTATTTTACCTCTATTCTTCCATTTGTCATTTTTTTCATAACTATTTACCTTAATTTGAAACATATTTATTAGCCATTAAATTAAATTTAAAAAAAATTGAATCCATTTATTTTTAATTTTTAATATTTCACATCAGTTATAGCTTTTACTTTTCAAACAAAAATACATTATCTATATGTTGTAATTCATTATTAAATGATATTTTTCGTTGTACTATAGTGCAACCAAAATACATTTATATATTTATCAATATTTCATGAATTACTTTCAAGTAGTTTTAAGAGTTCTAAGCAAACAGATAAGTCATAAATAGATTAAGAATATTTACAAAGACATACATTTATTTTTAAGTAGCAAATTAATAATATTTTGCTAATTTAATAGTGTTGTTAAATACTTACGTATACAATTATATAAAACTTAAATTATTTTATGAAAAAGAATTATCATTACAGATGTTCTAAAGAAAAAAGTTTTTATTTTTGTCAATGAAAAGTTGTTCGTGTTTGAATAATTTTTGTTTCTAATTTTTAAATAGTTTAACTAAATATAATAGTTTTATACCTAAGAAATTTTCTAGTTTATCAAATAATACTATTTGGTCATTTTAAAAATATTGATTTAGTATCATAAATTATTAATAAATAAAGGGGATAATGATATCTTGATATTTTTATAATGATATTGCTGAACTATTAAAATAATCAACAAATAAAATATCAGCTAACATTTTCAAATCTATTCATCAAGTTTTAAGTTTTTAACTTAAGTTTTCGAACGATTTTACTATCATTTGTGATTTAATTAAAATCGAAATAATTTTTTTTTGTTTATGGTATTCATTGTTAAATGTTTTAAGTGTTGTTGAGTAAAGAAAAAAGTTTTGAAATAAATTAAATGAAATTACAATCTGTTCGTCTAGCGAAATTGATTAGCAATTCAATATTCATTCTAAATTGCCTGAGTAAAAATTTTTTACTTTTCATTTGTTACATATGTATGAAACTAAGTACAAAATAAAGTGCATGCATATCAAAAACACTCATGATAAAATTACAACAATATCTATTTATACCGCTATTAGGCTATGGGTAAAAATTAAACTATTGGCAATAGCGTTATGTCTACATTTCGTTAGAAAAAAAACGCGTCATCTTCTAAGAGCTTTTTTACTATTTTCTATTTTAAACTAAATCCAGATATATCTCTAAATTAGGCTCTAGTAAATGATAACTACTAGTATCAGTTTCATTTTAAAATATAAAAACTAATTCTAAACGACATTGTTGTATCTTAAGAGTTACAATTAAAGTAATAAATTAATATATTGACTTACTTTAGGAGATAATTTCAAAATTACCGTTACTACACACTCGTTTAGCGTCAGTATATTTTTAAACACGTCCAACAAACTGCGGTTCGTTACACTCACGGGACGCGGTAACGGCATTGTGATATTTTCAGGCGCTTCAGTCAGCGGCAATGACTGCTGGGAGTCATCGGCTAAGTCGAACTTTTCCGATTGACGACGAAGTGGGAAAGACTGCAATTACTCATTTAGTATGCAACGTCTCTGAATCTATATTCAGTCTGAATCTCTGCACAATGTTATCAACGTCATAAACGTTGATAACATAATTATTGTATTAATTATTATGATGGACCGTTAAATGAATTTTATAACCTTAGTAACCTTATCAACTACTTTAGATTATTAGTAGTTTGAACACAGCTATGGGTTAGATATCACTAAGCTGTACCAGAAGTATTCTGAATATTTTTATTTTCTCGTGAAATTTCACTTTTATAGCAGTAAAATAAAATTTGTTTCACGAAAAGATATCATAAAATATTACTGAGTATATATATATATGTATACTCAGCACTTTTTCTACCACAAATAAAAAAGCAATTGGTTTGGTAATCTTCTCTGGCTATTTTTTTTTTTCTATTATTTAAAAGTAATTGAAAAACCAATATACTATAATGATAAATAACAGCAACTAATGCTTATATAATAAATGATAGAATGGCTCCAAATTTTCTGGATTTTTCATAATGTTGTGATTTTTAAATAATTATTGGTATTTAAATCTTTAACACTATAAGCTGATTCACAAATAACATCGAAAATTAAATTTATATAATTGAATAAAAGTTAAATATTGTAAATAAATTGTATGTACTATCTATTTAAAAAAAAAAAGACAATTCAATACATTATTTCTTTGATTCATTTTATAACACTTATATTACTTAAAATTAATATATGATTCTTATAAATTGTCTTTGAATTAGTAAAATATAAAACTTTTGTATTAGTAATCTTAAAGTTACCTAAAAAATACACTAAATAATATAATTCTCTCTTTTATGAAATATTCATATAATAGCTGTAAATATACGTGTATCTCATTTATTTTTATAAAAGTTAAAAGTAACAATTTTTTCTGATTGAATTAATGCGCAACATAATTAATTTTATTTAACGCACGGTTTTTATTAGTTTTGTACATAAAAATGTAGCCATGTTGATAAATCTTAACATTTAAACAAAATTCAAACTACAAAATTTAGTATTACACCAAAAATTGCTAACCAATTGTAACATTACCTTTTTTGTGATTACAATCATATCATTATAATGTAAGTATATTCAAAAATAATTATTTGATTGAAAAAACTCCAGATTTGAATAACTTTAAGATACAACTATATATTAACGTACTTAAAATAAAAACTATACTTCAAGCAATACTGATAAAAAAACAAAATTAGGGTTTGCATAACAATTAATAAACTTGATCATCAAAAACTAATATAATCAATGATTATCTCTTTTTTGAGAAAAAATTACGGTAACGCGATTTTGATATTTACTAAAGGTACAGCACAAATGTATCATTTATTAAACGAATGGCCGTACGATCAACCAAAGTTGATCAGCTTTAGCCAACTTAAAAAATACTTGTAGTGAGAGGAATAGGTGTTTATCAACATTGGTTTCAACAGGATAAGACACCCTGTTACAAAGCCTAAGAGATTAATGTCTTTGCAGCGTGAAAAATTCATTGATCGTTTAATATGCAGCGAACATGTTTAACCCCTTAGGTCATTCAATCTGATACCTTCAAATTTTTTTTATGGAGATATAACAAGTCATAAGTAAATGTGAACAAACCACACTCTATTGTTGAAATTAAACGAGTGATCAGTGAAATTTACGGAAAAGTTTTTAGCCAAATGATCGTCAGCTTTAACGTTAGCTAGTAGATGTACTACCATAAAAACTTTAGATCTTTACGAATGTATGTATAAAAAAAATTAAATTTGATTAATTTTTTATCGAGTTATGATGTTTTCAAAAAAATAGTTACTTACGCCGCAATCAATATAAAAAAGATATACAAAAAAAAAAAAATAGAGAAAAAATTTATTTGTTTATAACAAATTAAATAATAATAATTTTAAGTTACCAGGGAAAAAAACTGAAAATTTTACACATTTCTTGACTTATGTTACATTTACGTTAATATTTAAAAAATATATTTAGTTTTTTTTTTATTAATCCCATTTATCTTGTAATGAGTCACACGACGAATAAAGAGAACTAGAACTACTTGACAACAAATTTGCACGCCGTAACATGGCAATGGGTAATGAATCCGTTTCTTTACAATCTAACTTTGACTTTTCCTAAACCTTTTCTAAACTCTCGACAAGCTAAATAAAACAAAAAAATCAAACTATTGCCTATTTATAATACGAATTTCGAAATAATTAATTTTAATATTAATTAAGATGGATAATATTGTTTTCTATGAAACCGTAACTTGTAATTTTTAATTATCTTGAAATGTAAAAAAATGAGATTCTATAAATAGTCTTTATGTAACCCAATTAAAAGTCATTACACAGTAAATTAAAAATGCAAAAAAATTATGTGATTGTAGAAAACTTGTAATAGTGTGTAGGACCTGTTAAGCTAATTACATATGTGTGTTTAGCTTAACTAATCGATAAATTATATACAAGTAATTGATTAATTACACGAATTATGGAATAATTAAAAGGTAAAACGTCAAAAAACTCAACCTATTTTTTTAACCGTCGTAAAAATTAGTTCATAAGATATTATTCTACATGTAAAATTATTAATATTAAGAAATATATATACACAGTGATTGATTTATCATTGACCATAAGATTTCTTCTAAAATAATAAAAATGAGTAAACTTAGTAATTGATAAATCAAGAAATATATAAAAAAAATATTTCAAAAATAATTTTCTTAACATAATTACTTTTTTTAAGAGATATTGAGTGTTTTATATTAAAAGAATCACCATATTTATAAGAGTGATCGGTTTATCATAAACCAGTCGATTACTCTCAAAATAAATACAATATTGAAAAAAAAAATGTTTATTTTTAGTCATATATGTAATAAAAAAATATCAAAAAATTTGTTTCAAAATTGTATTTATTTTGCAATTAATTAATTAAGTGGCTTATGTTAAACCGATTATCCTGTGTTTGTATATATATATTTACCTTTAATTGTATTTCTTGTTTAATCTCTTCAGTGGATCTGGATGAAAGAGCTGATTTATCTTTAATTTTTTTAATGTTTTTTTTGGTTTTTACTACGGGGTAAATTCGTTTTGGAACTGGTATAATAATCTCTACAAATTTAATAAGGTATTACTGTTAAAATTGATATAACTAACTACTTCTTTTATCAACGTTTTTAATAGTGTTTTCTTTTTTATTGCAATTTTTAATGACCTCTTTAAATTGTGTCAAATCAGATTTTATATCGTTTAATTTCCTATAAAATAAATTTTATATCTTAGCCAATTTGTATAGAAAATAAGATATTAATATACATTTAGATTTAGGATTTCGGCTAATGAGGATATAAAATATTATTTTATCTGTAATAGTATCCAATTTTTGAAGAATTAATTTTAAGGTGTCATCTCCTTTTAAAAAATACAAATTAAGATATGTAAAAATTATACGTTCAATATATTCTATGGTATATTTACTAAAAGACGTTGATTTATCAGAAAATAAAATAATACACAGAGTGATTTATTAATAATAAACGACTTCATTAGTCAAAAACTAAAAATTATAATGAATTTTTTTTTTTTTTTGGTTTCCTTTAGGTAATTTTTTTTCAATTTATCAATAACAAATTATTTTTTATGTTGATTCCTTTTACCTTTTAAGTATGTCAGCTTCAATAATAACTAAAACTAAAAAGTATGTCAGCTTTATTTTTTCAAATGACAACATACAAAATAAACTAGCTTATTTAATAGATAATAATATAATTAAGAAAATGACAGGTTGATAAGAACTTTTGGACTAATATTTTGGAAGTTATTTACAATTTTTAAACAATTTACTAAGTATTGACTCCAGGTAAGACACAGGTGCTGCTATTTTTATCACTAGACATTTTTCAGCCTCAGTCCTCCTCCTACTTAAGTATAAAAATGTTACTAACATCTGAAATACTGGTTCGAAAGTTGTTATTTTAATAAGTCATTTTACTAATTACAGCATTTTCTATTATTTAATGGATAAGAACTTTAAATGATACAATAATGAAAACTAATTAAAAATATACGTTGTCATTCAAAAAAATTAAACTGATACTGCAAGCTTAATAAATTGAGAACGTAAACCCAGAAGAAACCAGGTTTAGTCAAATTGGTCAGCACAGGACTGCTCAATTATTATAAACAAATTCATAAGTTTACGAGCTGTGCTTGTAGGTATCCAAAATAACTACATACCAATTATTTTGGCATTGATAGACACATCTGAATTCGATGATTCAGTTGTAAGAAGTGAATCTTGATAACTTGATGTACATGGAACTGAACTACTCATATGACTATATTTTTCATTACTCTAGTAAATTATAACAAACAGTAAATTAAAAATATTGTACCAAAAGAAAAGAAAATTAGATTATAAAAAACTGCAGCCAAAAAACTTCATTTTTTTCATTCATAACACGGTTAAAATCAAATCCTGTCTTTAAATCTTTCTTAATTTCATCCTTGTCTTTAAAACTCATTGGTTTGCTAAATTTAACCATTGCATTATTTTTAGGCTTAATTACTTTTAAGTATGTTCCGAATAATACTGGAAAATAATTAAACATTTTACGTCTTAGTTATATATTCAAAAAAACACTGTATTTATAATTTTAATAACAATTATAAAAAGATTATTATTGACTTTAAAAAGTTATTATTGACAAATAAAATTTCGCCGAAACATAGTTTTAGTTTTAGTTATTATTGAGGTGGACATAATGCCCATGCACTCAGACCTGTTGGTCCATTGTGCGCACCTCATACCGAATTGTCTTGATTCGGTTTACCCACCTAAGTGTTATCACCAAAGTGTTAATACATTACCAACCATAAAGTCACCTCTAAAGATGACCAAAGAGTCCTGTCTTTCTGGCGAAATTAAATATCTCTCTGGGTTTTAGGTTTTTAATA